TTCAGATCATGCTCCAGTGCAATTGAGTGTTTGTTTGTCACTTAGTGGACAGGAAAGCCACCACAAGGAAACTTTCAAGGGTACTATTTAATGATAGCACAACCAAGAATGTATTTCAGAATCAGCTAGAGAAGCAGTTGAGGAGCCATCTGAATGATTCTGGTCCGGAGACAGCTTGGAATGATATCCAAAATGCTGTGGAAACAACAGTGGTATCTGCCAGTTAGGTAAACCATAAAGCTAGAAAGAACCCGTGAATCGCAGTAACATCCACCGACGCTCGTGAACCCCTCCCGCCTAGATCTGAACATGACGAAGAGTGAGGTCGGATCGAGAACAGGCTGATAAACAGCCTACGCAACGATCGCGAACAGAGGTGGGGAGTGAAAGCGATAGAGATTGAAAAGGCAGCGCCAATGAGCAACAGTAGAGAGTTGTTCCAACATATCAAGGAAACCAGTGTTAGAAATCCATCTTTTAGCGCAACTATCTCAGAAAAGGATGGTATTATTATTCATTCTCAATCCAGGAGATGGGATCGATGGGAAGAACACTTTAGGGATCGGTTAAACTGGACTTCAGCCACACTTTGGTCACCCACGATTTGCAATCAACTTGAATGGGAAATCAACGTAACTCGTCCGAGTTTTAACGAAAGCTATAGAGAACCTGAGGCGAATACGAGCTTAAGGGCCTGACAAACTTACCCCTGAGATGTTTAAGGATGGTGGTCCAGTTTTAACAGTTAGATTGACTGATATCTTCGGTAAATCTGGTAACTAGGCGTAATACAATCTGACTGGTCTCAAACCCTGATTGTCCCAATTTATAAGAAAGGACAAAGTCTTCTTGTGACAATCACAGGGAAATAAGTTTAACTAATACAGTATCTAAAATATTGGCCTCAATAATAATCGAACGCCTAACTAGAGATCGTGAAGAGCAGACTAGAGAAAACCAGTCTGGTTTCAGACCTGGACGTGGCCGTACAGACCACATTTCCACACTACGACAGGTCCTGGAACACAAACACACATTCAGGTGTCCGACAATAGTTGTCTTCTTGGACCTTAGGGCGGCATTCGACTCAGTGGATCGTGAGGTTCTGTGGCAGTGTCTGTCATTGAAGGGTGTACCAAATAAGTACATTAACCTTATTCAAGTTCTCTACTCTAAAACTACTGGTCGGGTGAGAGCATATGGCGAACTGTCATCAGAATTCTTTATTTCAAGTGGTGTCCGTCAGGGATGTCCACTCTCTCTATTCCTAATTAACTTTGTCGTAGACATGTTTTTAGAGTTATTATTATCTCCGTCTGACTTTTCAGGAGTGAACCTACTTCCAGAAGACTCAGAAGACTTAGAATTCGCCGACGACATAGTTCTATTTGGTTAAGACGCTGACATAATTCAGAGTCCTCTGATTACTCCAAGCTACAGTGTAAGCATCTTCGGGATGCGATTCTCCACCTCAAAAAGCAAAATGTTGCTTCAAGATTGGGTTGCATCGGCACCTGAACTAGTAGTAGGGAGTGAAGTATTCAAACGTGTAGACCGCTTCACGTATCTGGGGAGTCTCATCAGTGCTGCCGGCCTGGTGACTGACGAAATCTCAACACGCGCACAGAAGGCTCGATTGACTTTTGCCAACCTGCCGCACCTATGGCGCAGGCGAGATATCCGCTCGCTAACCAAAGGACGAGTGTACTGTGCAGCAGTTCGCTCCGTCCTACTATACGGATGCGAACCATGGCCATTAAGAGTAGAAGATGTTCGTTGGTTACTAGTCTTCGATCATCGATGTCTCCGCAGCATTACTCGTATATTCTGGGACAATCGAGTAAGCAATACTGTCGTTAGGAAACGAGTTCTAGGTAGGGATGGCAAATCAATAAATGAAGTAGTGAAACTTCATCAGTTGAGGTGGTTGGGACATGTGTTACGAATGCCCAATCACCGAATGCCTCGACGAGCTATGTTTTGTGGTGTAGGAGTAGGATGGAAGAAAGCTAGGGGCGGCCAAACCGAAACATGGCAGAAATCCATAAAGTCACTGACAAGTGGACTGAGTCATGTCGGTAAGTGTCGACTACCTGGTTGTTGTCCGCGAGATGATAATAATCGATGGTTAGAGACCTTGAATGACATGGCTCAAAATCGTTTGCAATGGCGCAAGTGCATCCATTACTTGTGTCCTATCAGATTTTTACCTCCTTTAGTCCTCATCATCTCAATATTTCTTTTTCTAAATTTATCTCACTGAAATATACTTGAATAATATCTTCGAACCTTAATCTTCTCGATTATTGCTAATGTTTCTACTATCTCTACCACTGGTGGATTTGAACTGACAGTTGTCTCTCTACTTTGATGCGGTATGGCAACCTGAACTTATGTACTCATTTAAGAAGTTCTACGTTGTAACTGACTGACTCACAAACCAAAAAATTCCACTTTTAACACTGCAATCACAACTAGGAAGCTTTTTCAGCACACAGTTAATTTATGAATGGTGTATTCATAATTTTTAGTTTTGACGTTCGATAATTTATCATGGAAAATCATGGACCCTGCCGCCGAGGGAAACGTTGGTATCATTTTACGTCTAATAGCTTAGATTTTTACAAAGTCAACCACTTTCTCAAAAGAAATCTGGCTGCTATCCTCTCTTCTGGCCCAGAACAGGAGATAAGGAAGAAACTTACCGATAGCAGATCATTAAGCTTACAGTTGGCGTTGGGTTGAGTTTAACTGTGCTCCTCATTGTGTGTAATCGGTCAAGTGTAAGATGCTAGGTTATGAACGAAGGATAACAAAACTATAGACGGAATTCCGGTTGCGTGATCCCGATAACCGTGTCAATTCATAACTAGAACAAGTTCCAACGTATAAATAAAAATTCTGGCACCACATCCTAAAAACCATTATATTATCTGTATATCAAACATGAAAAAACGAAAAATATCTAGATATGTTATAATATAAAAAGTTGTAGCTTCTTAATCAAACTCAAAATCAATATCTATATTCATAGCCCCATTAAAGTAAAAATGGATGTATAATATGAACTGATTTGAAGGGTGTGTAAACTGGTGCTTCACAAGGACTATATCTCATTTTGAAATACAATAAAATAGTTGATCATATAAGTTTCATAGAATTATATGAATTCGTATTGAGATGGTGAAAAATCACTACTATGCAATTTCATTTCAATAAAGTTTTTTTTTTAAGTTGCTACACACAAAATTATCCGTAAGGGTAGTGAGTTATAAAGTTTTATTTTGAACCTACGTTAAGCTACGTAAATGAGTTTTATTTTGACTATGCGAATTGATTGTTCATCTTGACGTATGATAGAAGCTTAACGAGGACTAGTTGAGTAAAATGATCAATCAGAATATAATAGTGAACTATTCCACAATGCCACAGAATGTTAATCTAAATTGTACATGTTAGTGAGCACTTCTCATCACAGTAAAATCTAGATAACGTGTTTAGACATCGATCTCAGCAGTACAAACGCACTTTTACTTCTTTTAAGCCATAGATAATTAAGCCTTTGTACCTATATTTCTCGAATTATTCACTTCTGATATTTTGAAAATTTTTTTGATTATATCTATTGAAAACTGCAGTGACTAGAATCCATGCATTTTAGAGGATGGTTCTACGTTGCCTGTTTGTTTTATGCATAAGAAGGCAAAATGAATATATCAACACTCAACAGATAGATGGGAAAGTCAAGCTGTAAGTTTAGAAAAAAATATGAATAAGTAATATTAGTAAGTTAAATGTGATTTGATAAAGTATTCGGATGTAATAACAAAATAATATAAGCCATTAATGAAATAAGTAAACTGAAACCTGAATAGCATCTCCTAAGTAGCACATGACATGTATCAAGTTAACTAGCTGGAGACTAGAATGCAATATCTTTGTTTCTATAATTGGGAACATTTTATTTGGGCAATTTTTGTAGCTGGGTTCTTCATATTACCCACCTTGAACTGAAGGAAATTTGTGTTAATTTCATAATTCATCTCTTAGTTCTGAAGCAGTGAGCAGCTTCTTCAATACGTTAACCTTCCTGCATCAACATTTTGTGAATAAAATTGAATTGTAGAATCGAAATTAAGCTTTTGAAATACTACTAATTTTTAACCCTATAAATGAGTAGTTTAGTAAAGAAACTTCTAAACTTTCTGCGTAATAACGCTGTTTGAAATTTTGAAATTTTCACAAGTATTTTTATTTTCATGTAAATATGTTTTTTACAAAAAATTTAAAGGGTCAGCACTACACCATACGCAATTACGTCCTACTTCTGTAAGAATGAGAAGCTTAAAATTATAGTCCGCCCAATTTCTATTTATTTTTTTATCAAGAGTAAATACATTTAAATATAAATCATATTTAAATTACTAACAAATCTACTTTGTCAACTTATGAATGACAACGTGTCAGAAATGTCTGGACAGTGAGATTACTATACCTAAACATTGTACTTTATTGAAAATGAATCATTCCGTTTTCGTAATTTAATACTGTTTAATAACAGTTAAATTAAGAGATATAATTTCAGAGAAATTTCTTTAGTGCACATGTTCAGGTGTGATGAATGACATCAGAGGTGCAAACTGTTGCCATGGTCAAGTGGGAAATTAATGACAACAATACACACTAAAGTTTATTTATTGAGTATATATATATGGTTGGAATAAGGCATTGTGATCTGGAGATTATGTAGTAAGTAAAATCTTTATTACAGTAAAAAAAATTAGGTGTACTGCATTTTTGAAACTGATTTTTTCTAATTCCTAACTATTTCACAGATTTCAGTATAGCTGAAAATGTTCACTCCAGATCACTTCACTGTTAGTTATGAACTCGAGAATATAATTCTTAAAGTTATGTATTGAAAAAGTTTCAGTAACTGACTTTTTACTCAGTAGTCAATTTTATCTAGGCTGTTAATAATTTTCTTTTCCAGATAAATCATGTATTCGTCGAAGAGCTTGGCATTTCTTCAGTTAATGATCATATTGTTGAGTGTATTTCAATTTTCTACTGGTTCTACTAGAAATCGAACTAATCGGATCAATACTACAGCTGAACAAATAGATAATAATACACTTTATCAAATATTGTCTGTTGAGAAGCACGTTGTTGTTTATTTCTGTAAGTAATCATTTTTAATATTATGTGTAGTGTTCTTCTTTGAATGATCAGCTTTCTTATTATTCTCTGAATGTGATAATTTATTTACTTCTAAATCACATTGATTGAAAAGCTGAGACCTGGTTCTGATTCAGTCTAATAGAATTCAGTGAGTACGTACTTCCAAGAACTCACTAAGTGCAGCTAAACTACTTTTACGGCATTCAAACGACTGAGTGAGTGCTAAATGTTTAGTTCTCCAGATTATTAGCTGATGGAAGTTGAAAGAGCAAATTAAGATAATTTCAATCTGGTAGAATAAATCAACAGTAAAATGTAAATCAGTTTGAGCAGACAACTTTCTTAAATCTCCCATCAATGTAATACTTATTTTAATTGAGTACTTAAAATGCCTTTCTCAAGAGAAGCCTTAGTTTATGTTATATGACAGTTTAATTCAGCCTTATTTTCGCTTTAAAAGTATGGGGATGACTTAATCGAATAGATTCATAACATAAACACTGTCATTGTATCTTTGAAAATTATACCTGCATAACGATTACATATTTCGTTCATTCTAGTTATGAGAATTATGAGTAATAACGTATGCAACCGTAATTTCATATACTTATAAGCTAGAAGAATGATTTAAGGAGATGAAAATTTCTTAAGTTAAACTTGTTATTTTGGTCAACTATTTGATTTGAAGATTATTTTATATTATAAATCAGCCTCTGTTGAATAAAGCTTTTTAATTAGTTTAAATTATTTAACTTTAAATCTTTAGATAAACCTTTCTCAAATACTTGTGATTCTAAGTTTAGGATATGAAAATACATATAGTTGTTTGGGTAAACATAATACTGAGTATTAATTACACTGCATTTAATACATAAATTCCTTAATAAGAGATTTATAACACTACACTGTTTTGAGGTTACAGAAAAATGAAAAACTGTGTAAATCTTACGTACTTAAGTCTGTTACTCGTAATTTATCATAGGCCACCGATCACCATGTTCACACCTACTCTGTCCTGGGCCTTCCTTTCTAGTTCTGTCCAATTGTTGTTCATTCTTCTCATGTCTGTCTCCGTTTCTCGGCGTAATCTATTCCTTGGCCTTCTTTTTTATCTTTGGGCATTGAGGATTCTAACTGAGGTCTTGTCTTGTGAATCCAGTTGGATACCTTCCTCACTGTGTGTCCTATATACTTCCAGCACCTTTTCGTAATTTCTTTATCTTCTGAAATCTGGTTTATTCTGTTCCACAATAGGTTGTTGCTGATGGTATCTGGTCAACGGATCCGAAGTATCTTGTGTAGACAACTGTTAATAAACAACTTGTATCTTGTGAATGATAGGTTTGACGGTTCTCCAAGTTTCTACCGCATGCAGTAGAACTGTCTTGACGTTTGTATTGAAAATTCTGACTTTGTTGTTTGTTAACAGTTGTCTTGAGTTTCGGATGCTGTTCACCTGTAGAAACCGTGCCTTGCTTTGCCTATCAATGACTTCACGTGTATATTAGATACACCTTGCGTGTCAATGATGCTGCCCAGATATGTGAATGTCCCTACATCTTCCAAAGCTTCTCCATTTGGTGTGATTTGGCTGGTGAATATTGTGTTGCTTCTAAGCACAGTTCAATTCCCCTTGTTTATGTTATCTTAGATCGACTGTGTAGCCTGAATCAACTGGCTGCATCCTAGCTGTCCAATTTATCCCTTGCTTGTCCTGATATGAGGAGTTACTCATAATCCTGTCACCTGCCAGAATAGAGAGAAAGGAGGATTGTAAGCAACATTCTCTGACACAACAATGAGTTTGTTCTTTCTTTCTTTCTTGAATCTCATCCAGAGTATCAACAATGATCCATTCCTTGTGTTGGTGCTTCTTGTTGTTCAGAATCTCATTACATGGTGAACTTATTGCTTCCTAGGTCCTATTCCATTTGTTCTCCATGGTAGTTTCCTCTTCATCGAATAGATCGTGAAAAGCGAGTGTCCCGAAGAAAGGCCCTAATAAGCTTTTGTGATGTTGTTCGACCGGTTGTCCAGTGTTTCTTGAGTTTCAGCCTGATACTGACCACCAGCAAGTGGTGTTCTGAAGCTATGTCAACTACTTTCTTGGTTCTCTCGTCTCCATCGTCCTTCTGAACTTTTGGTTGATACAGATATAGTCGATTTGGTTCTGAGTAGTGTAATCCGGTGAAATGCATGTGGTTTTGCGTATGCACTTATGTGGGAATATGGTTCCGCCGATGACCAGATTGCTGAATACACATGGGTTTGCAAACCTCTCACGATTTTCGTTCCTTTCTCCCAATCCATGTCGTCCGATGATTCGATGCTGTCCATTCAAACCTTGTCGTTTAAGTCCCCCATCCTTTATGAGGCAGTTTTCGAAGATCGACTGCAGTCCCTCGCAGAATTGGTCTTTATCATTTTCATTGTAGTGGTTGGTAGGTACGTAGCACTAGATGACTTTAATCGTAATCCTCTCTTTCTTTGTTTTGAAGGGTGCATTGATAATCTTAAGTTGGTGAGATTCCCATCCTGTCAGTGCCTTTTGTGCTTTTTTGAAAAGCATCAGTTCAACTCCTTTTGTGTGAGGCTTTTTCTTCCCTACTGCCGGAGTATAACAGCTGCTCTCCTGAAGCTAGTCTTAGTTGTTCAACCTGCGTCCAATTTGTTTCACTGATTCCAACCACCTCTATGTTGTACTTTTTCATTCTCTCTGCAACGTAAATGGTCTCCAACATTTTGCAAATGTTCCATATACCAATATTAATTGTTGCTCTTGCTGTGAGAACGGGCATCGGCTTCGTGAGTCCTGAAGAAACTCGGCCTTCATCACCAAGCGTCATAACTCTTCAAAAGTTTTGCTTTTTCAAATCCGTTCGCAGATCTGCAAAGGTTTGGATTATTGGTTCTGATTAGCACGTTTTCAGCAAGTCGGTTTTCAACGGTGTAGGGCTAGTAACCCCATATCCAACCGTTCTCCTTTATTCGATTTTAGAACCCGTTGTAGCTCCAGAACGGCATCGGGTGGAGTTAGCTATGTGAATCCAATGTAGTGAAAAAATGAGTTGACATCACTGAAGCATTCATTGATCCGCAAGAAATCTTTTATAACTGAAATGTATTCAAATATAAGTGCTATCTATAAAATTAAATGACATCGACACAGTGAGAATGTGCAGCCCTCGGAATATTTGGATTCTGAATATACACAACTGAGGAGTATGATAAAAAGTTAGTATTCCTTGAGATATACTGACGATATGAATATAATTCAGTTGAAGTTCAGCTTATGCCCCATTGATGATAACTATCTTTTTGCGCTTTTAGATGATCATGGCCATCGACAGGAATCAATTTATGAATTATTTAATGAAATGTCACATAAAGTCAATGAAACAATGTTACCAGTTTCAGTTTTTACTGTATGTGCTACCTTTTATGATGATATTGTGGCGAATCTCAGTATTTATGTAAGTTCGTGGATTTCCATATAGATTATGATGTAAATAAAATATATACATTTATAAATTATATGTATGTGAAATTTACTTATTATTCAATTTTTCTATGGCATTTATTAAAATTTTACACAATTGGTTATGTTAATAAAGTATTAATACAACAATTTTCTTGAACCAATCAACAACGAAATGTTTTAGTAAAGATTTGTACTAATATGCAGTAATATCTATTGATCAAGTTAGTATCTCACTGGATAATGCGTCCGGTGTCTGAAACAAAAGCAATTAGGTTTAAGCCGTAGCGTAAATGCTAGCATGAGTGAAGGTATATTCACTTGACGAGTTTTAAACAGGATAAAACGCGTCTTCTAGATTCCACCGCCAACCACATACTAAATAGGCTAATTCCAACTGTTTTTTATTCTCACTTTATTCATACTTATTTATACATTATTGTAGAATAATTGTTTTTCTATGATTTCACTTAACTATATTCTATGAAGGTATAAAATGAATTGTGTTTCAACTGTTCAATGAAAACAAGTCGACCACTAAATACAACTGAGTTATTGCTAAACATTACAATGTAAAATAAAACTAGAAACAATTATGAAAAACACAGAAAATGTTATCCTTATTAAGTCTTACTGTAAATAAGTCAAAATGTTTATGCATTCTGATCAATGAGCGTATCAGATCATGATCATGGTCATGTAACAGACGACTAAAGACCTATGCATTAAACTCCACTATAAGTTACTATTGAATATGCGTAAAGTAAGTTGATTATTTTTTTTTATCATTATGTCCACAACAAGAATGTAGATGTTAATACTGGTTAATCTGTTGAATTGTAATGTAATCGATAGCTCAAACAAACTGAAACCTCTAAAAGTGCATTCAAAGCAAGTGAAGAATAATTGATCATAAACTAAACTTTAAAAAAGAATCTATTCTCTGGTTATATGATCTGCTTATTTTCGACAAACTGACTAACTGAATACAAGAATTAATGTACACATGGAAAGCACTCAGACGAGAGCAGATACACTTTAATAGTTGCTTCCCATAGAATTGATTTTTTGAATGAGGAAAATAGAAATTTCCTAACTGAGAAATTACTTTTTCATAATGATAATCAGATTCATATCTGACCAATGTATTATCAATAATTTTATTTTACAACAGATTTTAATACTACAGATTGACTGAATCAGTAAGCGTTTATCCATTAATGCATACTGTTTATTTGCTTTGTAATTTCAAATATTTTTTGCTTGTAATTAAGTAAGTTGATTTACAATTATCCTAAAATTATATCTTGGTTAATGGTTAACAATATGTTTAATGTTACATCAAAAAGGAAAGTAACATAAATAACGTGTTCAGTCTGTTTTAGTTTTGAGCGATCAATACACTTAGGGAAATAATTTGTCTGAATGATTTATATAAAAACGAAATTTACAAAGATATTTTAGCTTACACAAAGTGTCAGAAAAAAGGTGAAAGCGACAGATGTGGTGAGAAATTGTCCTACTCAAGTAATATTCATAGTGTTTAAATACAAACCCGTTTAAACATTCACTCATAATCAAATGGATTATTGAAAATTCAATATATAATAGCTCAAATGTTATCAATTTCAAATATTACGGGTATCCAAGCCTTTGTTTTAAATGAGTAGACCTCATTATATTGTGTAGCATTTTTTGAGCAGGTGACAAATAAATGAATATTCTATAAAATGTTTTCTCATATCCTATTTGTTTGTTTAATCACAGGTACCGTCAGTTACGTATTTTCGTGATGGTGGAAAGTTTAAATCCGAGTATAAAGAATTAATGAAAATCAATGGAGATAATGATAATCCGATGTATAAATGGATAAGAAGAAAAATTGGTTCACCAATAAAATTATTAAGAAATATCAATGAAACTCAAGAATTAATTAATACTAATAAATTAATTGCTATCATATTTATGAAGGTAAGATTGAATTATTTTCATTACGCGTTACTTTAATCAAAAGTTACCTATGTATATTAAACTATTCCTAAATTTCACACATAGTACCTACACACAATCGCGCCATCATACTTCAATCTCTTTTTGAGCTCATTCGGTCTATCGTGAATGATAACAGAGATAATGGGCATCGTTTGTTCATCGTGTGGTATTATCATAGTTTAATATAACTGGAATAATCATGTGTGAGTTTGATGGAACACTTGTCTGGATGAATAATCAAAAACTTTTGCATAAATGATCGAAATTTATTTTGACAAATGGAAATGAATCTAAATCAATAATTATCATAGTCAGTGAAATATTGTTTGAAATTTCAATATAAAATGGTAAATTTCCTTAAAAATATATTCGTAATCTGAAAAGTAATCTAAGTGTTTCAAATACCGAATCAACCAACTCATACTTAAATATATGGAACATTAAAATGAAAGACATTACCTCAAGGAAAAGGACACTTTTAGAAGAGGGGATGTGAAATTTGGTGAATTTTGTAGTTTTACATCACGGACTGTTTGTAGACAACCGGTGGAAATCATGAAGTACTGGAAAGCTGTTTTGTTCTAGTATAAAAGTCTTTATCATTACCTATGAATGATCTACCTGAGACCAGATTCAGTAACACAGGTTTTCTCGGAGAGGGCATAGACTTCAGATCAATGAACTGACAAACAACAGCATAAATTTCTAACTGTATCAAATTCAACATATCACTTGACTATCAATAATTGCCATCGTCGGCATTTTTTCAAATGAATATGCACTACTAAAGATTCGCATAACATGAAGAAATAACTTCCTGGTTCTCTGTGACTGTCAAAAGTCTGTTCCTAACGGTAAAATAGAAAAGATTCCTATATGACTTTATTCTGCGTATATGCACCAATTTTTAAATGCGTTGGCTAATAACAATATCAAAGGGACAAGAGATGCTTAATCGTGTTAATAAACTATGAAGAAACTTGTTATTATCACTGTAAAACTTCAAAAGATAAAAAATTTTTATAGAACGTTGATAAAGATCAATAATAACTATGAATTTAATGAGATTGGATAAATTACAGTTTGATCCGGAAAACACTTTGACATCGTACTGAAGTAATATAAAATCATATTCTATCAAAATGTTTATTTAAACCTACTGTTAGGGCATTTGAAATGTTCCTATTTCAGTAAGATAAACTTGAGTCTCTTACGGTTATTAATATTTTAGCTAACTCACTAAAGTTAATTAAATAAATGTTTTATGCTACTACATAAATTTCCAACTTGTTTCCAGATCAGATTTGTAAGGAAGCAAAGCGAATTTCGCTGATGAATAAAAGTTTTTTGTAAAGATAAATGAATTAGATAGAAACAGCGCATAACTAATAGTCACAAACTATCCGTCCAATCTACTGAACACTATATGTTCACAGCTGTGTTAGTACAGAAAACTGGTGAAGAATAATTGTAAATCATTTCAAAGCATTTTGCTGATCGAAAGTTAATTATCCTTTCAATGTAAACTGGCACAATGCCATGTGTTTGCAGTTAACAGTCTTGAAAGGAAAAAGAAATTTTCCAAAACCACCAAGTTTACATAATTTCAATTATTACTGCTAAAGTTTTTGCTATAAAATCGTGATTTCTCTGATGAAGTCCTGCTTCAAACTTAATGACCACTGATAGAATGTAATATATTTTCTTGATGTTTTCGTACTTAATAAATAAAAACAAACTTACTGGTATTTTATTCACAGAATTTGATAAAAATTGGTTGATCATAATAAACAAAGTAATACTTAATCAAACTGATTTGAACTTGAATAACAATTAGTGTAACTTACATACATAATTTTGGACAAAGATAATGAGAACTAAGAATTTTCTACATCATGCTTAAATGTTCCAAATTATATTAGACCATTCATATTTTCATTCATATTTTCTGATGCAAACTGATTAAAAAATGATGATTTTCATTGAACTTATTTCAGTGAAATTAAGTCGGATTGACCTATAGCTTTGTGTAAAATTGTTTAGTTTTTAGATGGAATTATACCGGTTGAGGACAATCATCCAGTATTTTCTTTGATAAATTCGTATGTGTATATGCTTTGAAACGATCTTGATGTCAAGCTTATTCATCCATGTACGAGTAGTTTTCTTCTTCAATCGTTATGATTAAAATATACGTGATTTTCAATGGTGCCCCTGTTATTATTGAATCTATTGTTAGAACTACCATTCTTAATGACCAGTATGTGCAATTACAGTTCAAGGTTGAAATAACCTGAGTTTAAAATATCCGTCAATCCATTAATACAGATTTATGTAAAGTTAGTTTCATTGTATACGATAAAACATGAATTAAAAGTATTTCTGACATATGCATCTATGCATATGAAACTATATCTATCTACACCACAGGCTTGAATCCTGCTTCAAACACGTTAATATCAACAGTCAAATGGTTACTTACACGAATTTGGGCACGGTTATTAATTTCTATTCAGTTTATTAAGTGTATGCAGATTAAAATCTTCTCAATCCTATAGAAGTCAATTTTCAATTATATTGTTAATACTGCTACTATTTGTATTTTGAAAAATTTCAGAGTATGCCTTTTGTCTTTTTCTTTAAAGGATTTCAATGGAGAAATAGTGAAAAATATTAGCACCGTTGCTGAACAAGCTGATCATATCGCATATGGCCTAGTTTACAATAAAACAGTTTTCGATCATTTCAACATAACAAATCAAAGCTTATTGATAATTAGAAAAGAGTCTGAAGATACAGAGGTGACTTTATACATACATACATTTTAACCAGTGTTTATAAGTAATAATTTCAACCATGATTTTGTTAAGACGTTTTCTAATTCATTTTATACTCTTGTAAGTAATGAATCATAGATATTGTTAAACTTTATGTTAGGATGAGAATAGTTTGTGTAAAGGAATCTTCCTTTAGTTTTCAGCCATTATTTATGTTTGTAAGATGTGTCAAAGTAAGTTGAAGACAAGCTCTAGTCATAATCCTGACTCAGTAATCGATCGATTGAACTATGAAATTCATCTCATTAAACGTTCCAAACAATCTTATCGTCTCTTATTAACCGTAAAGCACCCAACTTTTATATTTACTCAGTGTGGATTCTTCAGGTAAATCATATAGTTGAGGTGAAGTAGTGTCACCATATATTCAATATTGAGAATTCGACATAATTTCTACAGCATTAACGTTTTCTAGTGACAACAGAAGATTTGATTATAGTATGAGATTCCAGAAACTGTTTCGTAAAGGACTGAAAAGGCATTTTTCTAACAAACATCATTCTAATTACCTGAACGCCTGCGATTGGTTTGAGTAGTAATGCAGACAAAAGCAAACGTAACTTACTTTAGCTCATTATATATGGTGAATAACAATGAAGCTTAACAGAAAAGTAAATTTCTGATTGATTCAGAACTTTTGTTCGCATGCAATAATCAATGTGGAGATAACGTAACAAAAACATTGCATTATGACGAGCGACAGTCTTTTCTAAACATAGCAGAAATACCATATGACGAGTTTTGTGAAGTATAGTCGTATTTTTAGCAGGTCACCACTCATTGCCATAACATAAAATTGTGTGAAGCTTGGAGGGATCTGCACTAGACTCAAGTCTTGCCACGAATGCTGACATGACTGGTAGTACATTGAACATATCTTGGATCTTGCCTATTGTACAGTTATACTAGATAAAATGAAAGCTCACAAACGAATTTCATCTGTTAATCAGCAGGAATCAATAAATGTTAGGTTTCACTTCATAGTTTCATTGGATAGCAATGAAAAAGTTTAGATCAAAAATGACTTAGTTTTCTTTTACTCTGTAGTTCAGCTTGGAAAATTAATTGACAGTACGTCTTTATTTATTTAACTATAGTGAAAGAAAATAGATGCTAGATAATTTCTCACTTTTCAGTTTATCTTTGATATTATCTAGAAACTGACTTCTCAGTAATTCTAGCAATTTATTAGTTGTGTTTAGTTGAAACAGTCTTTGCTTTTAGTCGTCTTCAAAAGTTTTATCTATTTACATATCTTTGGCAAAACAAACAACTGAATCTTTCAAAAAAAGCTTAATTGCTTATTTACTTACGCCTGTTACCCCCGTTGGATCATAGGCCGCCGACCAGCATTCTCCAACCTACTCTGTCCTGGGCCTTCCTTTCTAGTTCTGTCCAATTGTTGTTCATTCTTCTCATGTCTGTCTCCGTTTCTCGGCGTAATCTATTCTTTGGCCTTGAATATTCCAAGTGAGGTCTTATCTTGGGACATAGATCGGCGCCTTCCGCAATGTGTGTCTTATCCACTTACAGCATTTCTTCCTGATTTCCTCCTCCGCTAGAATCTCGTTTGTTCGCTCCCACAGTAGGTTGTTGCTGGTGGTGTATAGCTAATGGATCCGAAGTATTTTGTGTAGACAACTGTTAATAATCAATTTGTATCTTGTGGATGAAGGCTTTCGTAGATCTGCAAGTTTCCACTCCATACAGTAGAACTATTCTGACGTTTGTATTGAAAATTCTGATATTGGTGTTTGTTGACAGTTGTTGGGAGTTCCAGGTGTTTTTCAATTGTAGAAATTCAGCCCTTAGATCTACATAAGATCCATCTTGCTCATCAATTTCGCTGCCCAGATATGTGAAGGTTTTCACATCTTCCAAAGCTTCTCCATCAAGTGTGCTTTGGTTCGCACATGTTGTGTTATAACGCAGAATCTTGCTTTTCCCCTTGTGTATGCTGAGATCTACTGCTGTTGCAGAGGCTGCTGCTATACTGGTCGTCTTCTCTCACATTTGTAGTTACCTACGGGATCGGAGAGCCAGATTATCTGCAGGGCCAGATCGTCCTCGCTGTCCGCTGTATGTCGTGTTCCCCTCCAGATGTTGACGTCTTCATAAGCCAGTCGATCACCAGGAGAAAGAGAAAGGGTGAGAGTAAGCAACCTTCCCTGACACTGGTATTTACCCCGAACGAGTCTGTCGTCTGTCCTCCGCGCACGATTTTGCCCGATGTTGTCTATCTTCTCAGGCACGCCTTAGTGTCCATGAAGCCTCCATGGTGTTGCCCTGTCCACGCTAACAAACGCTTTCTCGAAGTCAATGCATCTGATGTAGAGTGGTGTGTTCCATTCAACTGATTGTTCCACGGTGATCCGTAATGCTGCGATTTGATCGGTACACTATCGATCCTTACGAAATCCAGCCTGTCGATCTCGAATTTGGGCGTCTACGAAGTCCTTCATCATGTTTCACAATACCCAGTTGTCCACTACTTCTTTAGTTTCAGTTTCATCTTGGAGACCAGCAAGTGATGATCTGAAGCTATGTTAACTACTTTCTTGGTTCTCTCTTCTTCCACCGTCCTTCTGAACTTTTGATTGGTACAAGTATGTTCGATTTGGTTCTGAGTAGTGAAATCCGGTGAAATGCATGTGGCTTTGTGTATGAGCTTATGTGGGAATATGGTTCCACCAATGACCAGTTTGTTGAATACACATAGGTTTGCAAACCTCTCACGATTTTGGTTTCCCTCTCCCAGCCCATGTCATCCCATGATGCCGTCATATTCGATGCTGTCCATTCAAACCTTGTCGTTTAAGTCCCCCATCTGAATGGCCAAGTCATTTGTTGGACGTTTCTTGACTATCGACTGCAGTCCCTCGTAGAATTGACCTTTATCATTTTCATTTTAGTCGTTGGTAGGAAAATAGCATTGGATGACCTTCACGGTAATGCCCTCTTTCTCTGTTTTGAAGGATGCTTTAATGATCTTGGGTCCATGAGATTCCCATCTTGTCAGTGCTTTTTGTGCTTGTTTAGGAAGCATTAGTAGAGCTCCTTGAGTGTGTGGGGCATTTTCTTACCCATTACCGGAGTATAACAGCTGCTATCCTGAAGCTAATCTTAGTTGTTCAACTTGCGTTCAATGTGTTTCACTGATTCCAAGCACCTCCAGGTTGTATCTTTTCACTTCCACAGCAACTTGGAATAGTGTTTCTGTCTCCCACAATGTTCGAACATTTCATGTGCTAAAAAGAATGGTTGGTCTGGTTATCAGAATGATTATCGGCCTCGTGACTTTCGAAGAGTCTCTGCTCTCATCATGGGACGTCATAACTCTTCTGAAAGAAGACCTTCTAACTCCTAGAGCGGAGTTAAAATGGTTTGAATTATTTTTATGGTTAGAGTTTTTAGCTAGTTAGCTTTCTACGGGGTGGGGCTGGTAACCCCATGCCCAACTATCCTCCTTTATCTGGGCTTGGGACCGGCAGCAGTCCCAGAGGACCTCCAGGCAGAGTTTCAAAAGAATTACACTCCATTCAAAGTTAGGTTATATCACAAAGCGAATTTACCCCGACAACTACAGAAAACCGATAAGTACCAGATATTTTTTCTTTCTATAATGAAACCTCGCACTAGCATATTATCAACGACTTAAATATGAATGGGAAACCGCTTTTCAATGTTTTTCTAGCTAAGTTCAGTGTATAGTGTGAATTCATTCCAAATAGAAAATATCGTACAAATCACCTATTCAAATAAAAGCACATATTTTACTTTCACTTTTGTTTTAGCCAATTAGGTTTATTTATTCAGGTGATTGGAATATTGAATCATTAGGCTCCTATTTATTTATTGAATCTTTACCAATTGTCAATGAGTTCCAGTATGTTGAATTAACTTCTTTTGACAGTGCTACAATCAAATATGATGCATATTTATTTCTGATACAATCTGACTTTGAATTTTCATCGGCCTTAAATAATTATCAGAATGCTTGTAAGCTATTTAGAAAGCAGGTATGTGAAGTAATAAATTATTATATAATAAAACTTTACCTTAAATCAGTTAGACATTCAATTTTTTGTTTGAAGAATTAAAAATGTTCAAGTTTTTAGTAGGTTCATGAATGCTGCTTGTCACCAAACTGAAGTATTAACCTGATGATAAACAATGACTGTAATAGATTTCAAGACAGTTTTTAGAAAGCTGACTTCAATGTCAAAGAAATTCTCCTCTGTTGCACAAACTGCGACTTCCATTATAGTACTGTTTAAATTTAAGTTATTCCTATGAATTTCAGTGTGTTTGAAAACCGTTATAATCATACATTATTCATTTTCCGAAGTCATGTAAAGCATCTATGCATAAGGACAGAACTGTAATATGCTAAATCAAATGAATTGCACAGGACAAATGAATTCAAAATAAAACAATACCGGTTTCTGTGAGAATCCGCACGTAGTTATATTAGTGATTATTTAATGATGTCAATTTTTTTTAAAGTAAATCTAACACTTTCATCATTGAACAGAAGACTGCTCATGAAGTTTCAACTTGTCGAATTCTAACAGGGATAGAATCTGATACATTATTGAATAATTGTCATAGCTATTTCGTTTCATGCTTTGAAGATCAGATTATTATTTGTATAGTTTGTCTGAAGAACATTAAATTAACTAGAATCTTCATACAGGTAACTTAACAATATTTCAGTAGTTTAAATAATAAATTCAATTTGATATTATTTTTTTTCTCAACTAGATACGTTGTTATTTTGTTGATATTGCAAACAAAGACAATTTGAAATTCAGTCAGCAACATGGTGTTCATGTTGGTTATGGATATCCACGATTTCAATTGGTAGCCACCTCCAAAATGAGATCACCAATTCGTTATCGTCTGAAGGGAACTAAATTTGAATTTGGACGGAGAGGATTTAACAATCCTGAGCTACTGACAATGATCAAATCTCAGGAAATTATAGACTTTTTCGACCAACTTCTACAAAATAAATTGCCACCTTTCTATATAAGTGAAGTTGTGCCAGAGTATGATGAAAATGTCAGTGATGATGATACCGAAAATATAGGACATATTCCTTTGCCTAGTATGATTAAATCACCACCGATGAAATTAAAATTTATACATAAAATTGTTGGAGCAACATTCAAAACACTAGCAAAGAATCCTGAATGGACATCTGTTGTTTACTTTAGTGAGTCATTTGTTTATAGTAAACAAGACTTTAAGAAATATTTTTTCATTTCAATATTTCTGCGCTTTTAAATTGTAGATAAACTAAATTGTGCAAAAACTGTACAGCTCTCAAAAACCCTTTTTTTTAATGGATGAGACATTATTCACTGACATTTAAGACTAACGAATAATTCTAAGAAAAATGCTCTATTTGATTTGTTTTCCTAACTAATAAAAATTGTGATATGAATATTATGTTTTCTTATTTCCATTGAAATGTCTCGCGTCGGTAAGAATAGATAATCTAGTATGATCAACCCTATCCTCATGAGGATACTCGAAAAGTAAAATTTCTTTTGAAGACCATTCGCGATTTTCAATAGTTGGTTGGTTAGCTAGATGTAAATATTAATAATTTGCATGAAACATTAACTTAGTTTAATTCGTCTACACCTCACTAACGTATCTCCTTTTATTGTATCCATTCAAAGAGAATTCTTCAGATGCATTGTAACAGGTCATTTAAATTAAATTTTAGTTTTATTCGATGCATAGATTGCAGTATCCAGATTACATCCTACTCATCCGTGTAAACATACACACTGAAAAGAAATACGTGTTACACCTTAATAATTCCAGGTTTTCTCAGTTTAACAGAGTATTCAGTTTTGGTGAATAAGATTCTGCTGACAGTCTATCTTTTTTTTTACTATAACGGCAGTAAAGATATCATAATGTTACCTCTGAATGATAAAACATCATAGAAAATTCTTACTGCTGTCAAACTATCCTTCAACCGAATGACAATCAATGATTTCCTGACTTCATTCTCATGATTCAGCTCAAATTTTCACCAACTAAAACAATTTAATAGATATTCTGTAGTAATCCCCGAAAGAAAATTCATTATTTGTACGTTTAAACAAAATCAGTCTACCTTAATGTTGAATTATAAAGTTTATATATTAACTAAAATCTCGATGTTTCAAAAACGATTTTCTACTTTCGTGTCTTCTTTAGCAGCCAAATGGTGTATGGGATGTAATCGAACAATTTATGAAGAATTTCCTAGACTGTCACAATATTATCAAAAACTTCAGCGACATGATTTATTATTTGGTTATACAAATTACGATTTAAATGATTATGAAGAATTGACAGCTACTAAAATGCCTCGCATTAAAATATTTCCTAAAAAATCAAACAAACAAATTGACTATGAAGGTACGGAACGTTTTGATCAAATAAAAGAATTCATCGAAACAACTGAACATACAGTAAAATAGTGGTAAGGACTTACGTATGTTTAATGATTTAAGCTGTCTTCAGTTTTTTGATGGATTTGGTTGGAAATTTACCTGATTAATCAGATCTGATTTAATAGTTTGTATGAATTCAATGTATTAATCTTTATTACAGTCTGTTCTTAGAAAAGGTGGTTATGAACTAACGTTGAGTTACCAATAAGTAAATAATTAATAAACTTGTAACCTTGTTCATTACAGTTCTTACATTTGTAAACGGATTAGTTAATGTTTAATATGCAATCAGAACAAGGATTTTTGTTCCCAGATCAATAGTTTATGAGACAAAATCGAACATTTATTCAGGTACTGAAAGTAGAGTTGTTGTAAAAACTAAAAAGCAATCAAGAATCTTATCAAACACATATGTAATGAAGCGGTGACTAAAAGCAGATATATTATTGTAATGAGTTTTAATTTGTTATCTACATTCTGTGATTTACTTTTTTTCATTAAAATATAGTAAATTTTTCGTGATCGCGTTATGTATGGTGAAGCAAAGATTTGTACAATACAAAATTACCTTCAATTGCAGAAAAATTCTGAATACAAGCCAGAAAACTTACTTCTTCTAAAAAGTCATTCATATATCACGTTTTTATACAAGAAAAAAATATTGTTTCTGAAGAATTTTCATTTTGTCTTCAGTTTATAATAATTATTTTAATTTTATACTTCTTTCAATGCTTCTGTAACAATATTCTCGCTATTTAAATAGCCCTTATAAGTTGAATGTTCCTGGGATAACTTTGTTCTTATTTATAACGTTTTGTTTCAAACCGATTTTTAAATTATTTTTGAATTAAATGTGGAAATAAACGTTTAACAAGAAAAAAATTTATTGCTAATATTCGGTACTTAAACAAAATAAAGTGTTAGATAAACGTATAAGGCGAACAAATGTTCATCATTACTATAACTAATCATCATAAATAACGACGATACAAATTATTTTAAGTCCTACATTAACCAAAAACTCTTACTTGGACTGAATAAAATATCGACGATTTATCGAAATTTCTATGCTTGCATTAATTAAGATACAACTTGGTATGAAATAACGAAACGTATAACCAACAACACAATAACAGGCGAGCTAAGCTATTCCTCTGTGCTTCAGTCCAGCTAAATGGGGGAAGAATCCTCGAGTAATAATCCTCAAGCAGCTCGGAACGAACGAACGTGGTATATACAATACAAAAAAGTGTCCATAGTATCACAAAATAACGAACTAAAAGAGAAGACGGACCAATGATGTCTAAGGTCCTTCCGAGTGAGAAACTAACTGAAGGTAAAACTGGGGGCTTTCAGCGCGAAAATAAGGGATTCAAATCTCCAGAAATAAACTACGAAATTAAGAAGTTTATCAAGAGATTTCTGTAGACCTAACATTCCCAACAAAATTATTTACTTCTGAGAATCTGTTAGCCAAGAGTTTCCAGCATTTGGGGCATTTTCAATCTGTAAAAATGATGAACACAGCATGTTAGAGTAGATAATATTCAATGAAACGATGATAACGAAATATAACTTGCTCATAGGATTAAATTATTGACATAGCCCCTAAAATTAACTGTTATCCGATGAAAGTATAACATATCAGTAGAATACCGAATTACCATGCCTAATATAAGCTATTAATGAAAGATAAGTATGATAGGATTTGGGTTTTTTTTGTTAATTAAATTAATACATTTCTATCATGTCTAATTTCTTCTCTTCATATAAGAATCTAATTCAGTCTACATTACATTTCATTCTCATTTCCGGTAAAGCTAATATTTATGAATTCTCTTTTTGAATCTTCTTGTATCAGTCAACCCTAATGGAGATGAGAAATTCTTACATGTTTAGCAGTTTAAACAATATGTGGAATTTAAATGTTCTGTTATCGATAGTTTTGAAATCCAAAGTATATTGCGTATAGACCAATCAGATTTAAAAAAATACTTTATGACTGACTACTCCGTAAAGTGATGTACTCATAGTGTGGTGTGTGCTACTTATACGAACGATATATGTAGTATAAGAAGGGACGTGAAAGAAGAAGTCTCACGGTCAGAAGAGGAAAACGGAAAGCAAATGGAGCAAAAGCAAGAAATGAATGGAATACCAACAGGAAGAGAAGGGAGGAACAACAGGAATGGAAGAAGGATGGAGCGTTGGAAGTTACGACTCAAAGATGGTGTGCAAATAGAGTGTTCAATGTAATGTTTTCGTTTTTAATTGACTAAGAGTGTGGCCTGCCTTAGTCTTCTCAACAGGATTTATTTTCGCCTCCAGAAGATTGGTGGAAAAAATACTATTCCATTTCTCAGACATTTAGAAGTATATAGTGAATAAAACAGATATTATAGTGTTCACTTTCTATTCATAAACCATACGTATGGGAATTACATACACATGGGAAAAGTAAGCTAGCCTATGCTTTTTACTCTTTGCATGTTGATTAATAGATTGGTGTTTAGATAGTTGTTTTAGCTGTCAAATTTTATGTTAACTCAGGGAAATAAAATCCATCAATAGAAAAATAACTAATTCATATTAAGGATAACAGTGTCAACAGAAGCGAATCATGGGAAAACAAATGAAACAGATTCAGAATAATAAGTTATCTAACATTAACATAATGAAACGCGTGTAGATCAAGCCAAGTGTGAGCTATTTTAAGTGATCATGTTTAGATATATAAGAGTTTAAGTGTTCTTGTTGTTGACCTTAAGGGCTTCATTTGATTGGTTTCTATTGGCCAATTTACACCCCAAGTGAACTTATCTGAAACTGGTTTTAGTTACAAGTTTTAGCAAAGTGATTTGAGACTTGCGGTGGAATCCCGAACACATGTATAGTTTTTTGGGGATTCGTGAGCTAGATGTACCTACATCAAAGTTTTGATGTTCAAAGTGAGACCAGAACTGAGTAATTTCTCGTTTAAACATCAATCTGTTATCCACTGAGCTAATGAGTCCAAAATCTCCTGACTTGTTGAATGGGTATGCGGTCATATAAGTAAAGGTTAGAGTTTTTCCATCGCTGACAGTAACGACTAAATCTCTTAGTGGTTGTCTAGATTTAGTAGCTTGGTAGACAGCTGGTCGGTATTCAAAGCGAAAGGTATTGTGTTTAAGCCTCACTATGGACATCAATTATGAAATTGAGGTATACTTGGTTGAAGGTTCCTATAGAGGACGCACCAGGTATCCATGAGACCTCCGCTAAACACAGAATAACTTTATTACAGTCTTATCGATGGTCTACTAATACAGATTTCAATTGATTTGCGTACATATATCAAGATCATATATCATATATCAAGAACAAGTAGTAAAAAGTAGATTATTGTTTAGCTTACTATTGATGTGGAATATAATAGACATATTCTTCCTGTATGGCAATCAAGATAAGTGTTTGTATTCTCCCGAGATTTTATCGGCTATCTCACTGATTCTAATGGAAGAGTAAATTTGATTGGCTATCGAGTGTGGACAAACAGGTACTCAATTTATTTGCTATTTACTATGTGGCTTGCTTTTCTTTTATTGATCACAGCCCGTTATGAATCAAGTATCTGATATGATGTAATCTAGTCTCTATGTATAGCGTATCGTTCTGTTGTCCAATTTAGTGGGATAATAAACTCGATCATCCATTTGATTCTTGTTACTTTATTGTCGTATTAGCACAGCATAACGCAGTGAAAAAAAATATTTAGTAGCATTTTTTGGCACTTATCACACTCTCTGACTACCTTGATATATTCAACTGAAAACAGATGGTAGAAAAAAACAATGAGTAGTTATAGTAAAGAAATTCTCAATTTTATATTTGTTACACCTTTTTGAAACCCGTATTGATCATGGCAGTTATCACTTCTATCATGCCGTTCATTTACTTCCATTATCTGCCATCACACTGTCTTATTCAGTGATGATATTTTATTTTTCTATTTTATCTATCAAATATATGTACTTGTTAAAATGTTCTATGGAAATATGGATAACTCATTTATCACTATGAAAACAATTAATATGTTTATTGAGGATATCTGTGGTGGTATACTTTTACGAAGAAAACAAAACTGCTGAAATATAAACAGTTATTATTGTACTTAGTTCTGAAAATAACTGTTCTATTGTACACCTCTTGTTTATCTGTGCAAAAGACTATCTTTCGCGCGCCAAGCGTTTTATTCCCTTATTCTCCTCCTTCGCATGTCTCCTGCCTGGAAGTTAGCCGTTCGTGTACCCTAGTCTCGTGATTATTTCGATATCACGAGGCTAGCAATTAACATACTGCTTCATCTAGAATCGTCTTTTCTCTGATTTCTAGATTTACGGGATTAACGCTTGTTATCTTGCGAAGTGGTATGTTTATTTTGTACAACCACATATCTATGATATAACCAATAGTCGACAGGAAATTGATTGCATTACTTTTATTTATTCAGTGAGCAGCTGAGTTTATAAAGAGTGAAAAGTAAGTTCAAAGTACTGTAATTAGAAACGTATTGAATGGTTATTTTGAGCATGTGAGGATGATAAATATCATGAAGTAACATCAACCATCAAAATAAGGAGGAAATTCATACTGCGATTTTTGGCTAAAGTCTTCTGAATTGCACGACAGAAAAAAATTGAAGAATTTGAAAGTATCCTACCAAAATCAAATGACTGCTTCCATCTATCAGCTGCGAACAGTTTCACATAATAATCAGGAGAAGCACCTATCACTCAAGTTCTTGCTGATACTGTTGCTCTCACTTTTAACAAATAACGAATTGCAAACTTAAGTTCTACATCCGTTGTAACAATGGGTTATGTACATCAATTAGAATCTGGATTAATTTGTAGCGATTTCACTTTTACGAAGAAGACACGATTGATTAAATAGAAACATCCATGATTATAACCGATTCTATCAGTGGTGTTGTAGGATTTAGTTCGTCCATCAGATGTACTGTTATAACTGTGAACGCAGTAATG